GTGTGTGTGTGTGTGTGTTTGTGTTTGTGTGTGTGTAAAAGGTTACATTTTCAAATTTTGAATTGAACCTTTCTTTCAGTTACACATATTGAACAAAGAAAAGTCCATCCTGCTTCTAGTTGTCTCATTAAGTTTAGGTCACTCCTTTCTGCTTATCTTCATAAAATAAAATCTTTTTCTTATCTAGACGTTTTACCCTGGAGTTTGTTTTTATTGTGGAATCCTCAGCCTTGTTAATGTCCTTAAAGAGAAAGTCCCAAATTTGTCTTTTTCTCAGGTTGCAAGTTTTATATTAACACCATAATAGTAAAAGTTAGTATCAGGTTCTTCCAAAACTGCTCTGCATTTTCTGCCTTTTCAACTACTTGTGAAGTTACAGCTATTTGTGAAATTGCCTTGGTAATAGCATAGTATTCTCCACCTGTTTGCATTTCAGTAATTTGAGAGGATTTTTTAAATCATAATTAGAGCACAGCTGGTCAACAAATTGGTCAATAAATTGGTGAATTTTGTTTAAAGACTTTTCAAAAATATATCTAATACTCTGCTCATCCATCTTGGCTTCCACTTTTAGTCGGGATCAGAAATTTTTTGCCACCCACGGCAGAGAAAATCAAGCTACAACTTAATACAATATTAAACTAAAATCACAGCCTTCATTCTTTATATGTCTCCGTCAGCTTTTTTTTCTTTTTCACCACACTTCCTTAGTTGGCTTGCCTTAACAGTCTTAGCTGTCCCGTGTTATTTAAGACAAAGACAAATCCCTAAAATGGTGTGAGTCTTCAAAAAGGCACAGCAGAGCCTCTTTAACTTGGCTTGAAAAGAATAATAGTCTTTGAGGGTGATTAAGAAGGGAAAGGCACAACTTTCTATCCGCTTGAAAGGTGGATTTCAAACGTCGGCTTCTTCAAACTTGAACAGATTACAGCCCCTCCCCCCAGCTTTTGGCACGCGGATTGCTTTGGACGGACTCCAGAAGCTGTCTGCTGGCTTGCAGCTGTTTTGGAGGGTTCTGAGGGAAAGTTCTTTAACCCACACTGACCGGGTGGATCTTAAAAACTGAAGGAATACCAGTCCCTTCAGTTAAAAGGTTGAAGAGCTGCATCCCAGGAAGAAATCCTTCAGAGATCTCTCCCCAAGCATGCCACCCAGTTGGCCATCTTCCCGGAAGTCTGCCATGTGAGTTCTCATAGGTCAGCAGAGAATGCCTTAGAGTAGAAAGGAAAGGAAGCAACAGAGGCTCAAATGAAGTTGTCAGTGAGTTTTCTTTTGAAGTGTTTTCTTTTGAAAATACTTCCAAAGAAAGAATATATTTATTTATATACTTAATAATTTATATACTTAAATACTTAAAAATATTTAATCAGAGCAGCAAAATGTCTCCATATATCATGGAATCTCTATAAAAGAGACATTTTAAGTGGTTTTGAAAACTGCCTCCAAAGAAGATATTTTCATGAACATTTTTAATATAGGATTTCATATCTGGAATATACTGTATGAACTGGGGTAGATTTGTACAAATACTACCAGAATTGTGAACTACTTTCTGTAACTAGCTACTTCAAAAACCTTGAAATCTTCCCTAGATTCTTTCCTCTTTAGATTAAAAAAAAAATCATTTGAAGACTCTTAAGTATTCTACAGTTAACACCTCTGTCCTGTTTTCACAAGTGTGTTTGGCTCATTAAGGAAACACACATTTCCTTTGTCAATATAATTTTCCTTTTCTCTCCCATCCTACTCTAATTTCTAGAATTTCCTTTTCCTTTCTTTCTTAAAATACAGCTTAAATGTCACCTCTTGGAATATTAGAATTATTTTGCATTTGATATAGTATCAGATATTTGACAATTATATTTCAGGCTTTTTCTCCTTTTTAGCAAATTGCTTCATATTTAGCCCATTGATACAAATTCAATATGTTCTAATAATCTCACCCATAATTATATGAGCCTATGCCAGAAACAGAGGGAAGCATTCGTGCTTATTGAAAAAGAAAAGAAAGAAAATTAAAAAGAGATTGAGGTTTTTGCTCCAAAATGCTTGCTGTAGTGGGAATTGGGGTTAAGTTGGAGGGAAAAAAAAGAAACACAAAGGAAAGAAAGAGAAGAAACAGATATGAGCAAACCTTTTTAATTTTAAGTTTAAGTTTTAAAAAGGTAGCTATTGAGAATAAGTGGGAAAGAAGCATGTTTCTGAATTCATTATGATAGTTCTTCTAGATCACAAAAACAATTGATTCCTTGTTGTGTCTGTCACTCTATTCTGATTTTTGAACTAGCATCTACTGTTTTATTCAGTCTAATTTTCAAGATGGTTCTTACAGGTCTTCCAAAGTGGAGAATAACAGGTAGTTTTAAGATCCTGTCCAATTTATTCAACAGCTGTTCACTAAAATACTGTAGATGCTTAGCCCAATCCTCATGTTTTTAACAATTGAGTTTTTTCTTGCCATTTCTCACATGCCGTAGCAATTGTTGCCTGTAAGGATTCAAAATATAAACTTTCAGAATGAAGCTCTTGAAAATTATTATTATTGTTGTTGCTTTTGTTATTTTTTATTTGTATATTGCTCTTCCTCCTGAAGGAAAACAGTTCAATAATACCTTTTAAAAGAGTTTGAGACTCCATAGAATTAAATATACTGTATTGCATCATTCCCCTTCTTGTTTTTATTCTAATCTTTAATCAGAACAAGAATTATAGGTCCACTTGGCCAGATTCATATTTTGCTTTTTCCTTCAAGTGAGAGCATTCTGCCAGTACACCTTATTAACGAATTGAATGATTGGAAAAAAATGTATGCAAATAAAGAAAAAGAGTATATTGCTTTTGCTAGTTTGTATTTTGCTCATCTTCTTTAGCACATGTAAAATAGAGGATGGATCTGTATTTTATATAAATCTAAATAGAAGCCTTCCAAAAGCTGTTTTTAAAAGCAAATGGCAGTGATACCTTGGCCCTCATTGCTGTCACAGTATTTTTGATGGAATGTTTGTCCTGCAGCACTGTCTTCCTGAGAATTTGTGGAAAAGGAGTTTGCAGGAGAAATTTTAATTTGGTTGATCCAAAGCCTAAGATACCTGTTGCTGGAGTGGATGTAATAAAATGGGTGGAGTGGATGTAATAAAATCATAAACTTGAATGAAACAGTCTGTAGTATAGTTTGCTGAAATACTTGTGCTGCATATAGAAGAAATGAAGGAATAGTTATTTCATTAAAATCTGTTGCATTCATTTGGTAGAAAATAAAATCATATATTGTGAAAGTGGTTTAGGGGTAAGTCCTGTGTTTCAAAATATAGCTTATGAAGTCACCCATTCTTCCCCAGCAGTTATTCCTGATATACTAAGAATATATGTATAAAGTTTTTCAACTTACCCAGAAAATGCATTTCAGTATGTTACAAAGCCAAAAGTATAATCCTATGCGTGATTACCTAGACATAAAATTTAACTCCAAAAGAGACCTCCTCTTTGGTAAGAATGTCAAGGTCTTAAGAGATGTCCTCTGAAAAATACATGGTACTTCAGTTTTCAGAAAAACAACTTTTCTTATTCATTCACTTTTGACCTAGCCACTTCTACAACTATTTATTTATGATTTTGTTGGTTGATTGGTCAGATACAATTAGTTTTGTGTAGACTTTAAATTGAACTTTACACTTCTGTCAGTATCAACATTAGAAAGCTAAGCTAATTTATTTCTGGCTCAGCTTTGGTGTAGCTGAAATTGCTAGAAATCTAGCAGTACACACACACACACACTCATTTTTAATGTGCTGTGATCCCATTTCTCCTGTTGGAGTAAGCTCTTCTCTTTTCATAATTGGTGTTCTCAGGGAGCTAGAGGTACAAGCTAGAGATATGCGTTATGAGACCGGACTACAAACCTGTGACTTGTCTATAGTATTTATGACTGACTTCATGATACAAAAAGTCAGGGTTTGAACTGTGACTTCATGAGAGTGGTTTTTGCTGGTGGATCTAAAGCAGATCATAGGTGGGAAATAGTTTTTGCTTCTTGTTTTCCTTGTTTCTAAATTAGCAAAAATGATAAGATAATAAGTAGTTTGAAGATAATCACAGATCACCTTCAAACTACTTATAAGGGTTTGGGAAATGAAAATGGTGGCGATGTGGAAGTCTCCTGTGTCACTGATGATAGCCTCATATATTTCCATTTGTCTATAATGTACTTTGCTTAGTCAGTTGATTATATCAATATGAAATCCAGATTTAAACAACGTGAATGGAAAACTGGCAGTTCCAAAAGTGCATTGCAGATGACCTCAATGAAAGAAAATGGAAAGAACATTGAATGCTACTTCATGTTCCATTACTTCCTTTCTGGAAATCAGGTTCATTTTAATCTTAGACTTGAGAGAGAATGACAGTTTTCTCAAGTCACACAGCTGAAACAGATTCTGCAAATTGTGGTTGTTTAGAAGATTTATAAACTCAGTAATCATGGAGAGAATAATTGCAGATGGAAAGACGTAGGGAAAACAGCAAAGATTAAATTAAGAACATAAGAAGCTTAAAATAAAAAAACAAAAATCCTCACTGTGCACTTTTATTTCTAACCGTAGCCTCTAGGATGATGCCAGCCTTGTTCTGTGATTTGTCCCCTTTTCCTCCTCCAGATGTCCAAATGGATTCTTCGGACAGAGATGTTTGGAGAAACTGCCTTTGCGATTGTACATGCCAGATCCTAAGCAAAGTATGTTTGAAGACAAAAATTATACCATCATACTACTTAAAAACCTCCTGAGTACAACACTGGATTTAGAGTTGCATAGTGAGGGTGTTCTTTTCAATTAATATCTTAATTAAGGTTTAGGGAACACAGGTAAGGGACCAACCAAAAACACACACACATCAGGAAAAATCTTAAAAGGGAACTCAGTTGGCATCAGAAAGGACCTCATTTCAGTCTGTTTGGATATCATGCTATCCTGTTTCTCTCTTTCTGGTTTTCTTTCTTTCGTTAGGTGTCCGAATGAATTCACAGGGGACCAGTGTCAGAACTTCGCAATGGCCAGCTTTTCCAGTATGTCTCTTTCCACTTCTCTCTTTCACTGATTGGTCTTAGCTGTGTGATATTTTTAAAGCAAAACTTTTCTGATTTGGAGCCTTCATTCTTTTGCTGTGTGATTGAGGAATAATTAAGTTCAGTTCTACTCTGAACATTACACCATACCAATGTATAGTCTAAGCATAATAAAAGATCTAGCAAAGACTGGACCAAGTTTAAAGTGACCTAAATTATCCTAGATAGCAAAGAGGATTTTGGATGAAGAATACAGGTAGGGCCAGCCTTGTACTAATCCAGCTCATATACTAGACCTGGGGACACCTTAGAGTAATCTCAAAGATAGCTATCCTTATATGGAAGCTCTCATATTACCATTGCACAGAAACTTATTAAATCAGATTGTTTGTGATGTTAGCTTTTTCAGAAGGATAATTCATTATGAAACACAAGGCTTTGTGTTTATTGAGAAGCCAGGGCTTATGGATCAGATGTGTGGCTTGTTCTTAAAAAATGTTGAGTTCTCCTCTACCAGAGTTTCTTCAGTGGTTTGTACTCTAATTCGACTTCACTTTCAGACTATCATCTTTGCAGAGTAGAGTGAAAATTAGGTTGAAGCATAGTGAATGTCACTGCTGCACTAATTAAGTACATACTATATACCCATGTGCTTCAGCTGACATAATTTTATGTAAAGATTTGCAAGATTCCTGCACATAGTCTAAGAAATCTCTCGCCATCTGGAGAGATTTTGGGATCTTCTCTATCATCACCTCTATTTTTATCAAATTATGAGACATCAGGGAAATACAAGTTCCTTATACATTTGTCCCCCACATACACTATTTTCAATTTAATCATTTTTTCTGACTTCATCAAATATAATTAAATCTGAATACCTTTGTATAAATGCCAAACAAATTGTTATGAGAATCATGATATATGAAATCCCATTCTGTACAAATGTGATTAATTACTTGATAAATATGACAGTTTGCAATAGTAGCAAATATAACAGCGTTGCTTTCCAAGCCAGGTTGCTTTCCAAGCCAGGAAGATACAGAAAACACACTATTCTAAATTCATTTGAATGTCCTGCAGAGTATTAGTTGCTCTTACAGCAATCTAAAACAAATATTATGGGAACCTGCGATCTCAGTACTGCTTTTATCTTCTAGTGCCCTCTTGTGAATAAGAAAGCCTGTAAAGCAGCAGTCTTCCAAGAGCAACTACAACACAACATTCCTGATGTGGCCACCAGCCCCCTGAAAGAAAATATATGTTCTAGTGATATAACCATATAACCAGTGGTGGGATTCAAATATATGAACAACTGGTTCTCTGTGTGGATACCACTTCTGGAAGTCCATTCTGGGCCTGGGCAACAAAAAATTAGCTACCGGTTCTGCCGAAGTGATGCGAACCTTCTGAATCCCACCACTGCATATAACTATAGTACAACCTAGTGATCTGTCTATATTCATGTTGGAAGTACCTACAAAGCTAACCAAAAGGTGTTTCTGGATTGAAAGAATTTGCCAGTGACAACACTGTTTCCCAGGGGATGCCTGATTGCCAAATGTAGCACAATCTTTGGAGAGGCTATCGTCATGCCCCCCAATTCAGTGATATAATATATGTGGTTAGGTCCAGAAATTTTAAATCAATAGGATTAGTAGGAATTCACACTTTAAGTAACAAAAATGTTTTTAAAGAACAGAATCAGGACTGAGGTACAAGTAAAAAGCACCATTTCATTCTCATAACTGTTATGATTACTGCATTTTACGCTGCCCAGAATGTCTTGGATAGCGAGTTGGGCAACATATAACATGATGTACAGCAATTGAAAGCCAAAATTTAAAATCCCAACCTTTCTTTCCTCTGCCCAGCTTTGACAAACACAAACAAGCCACTTGATCAATTCCATATAGATCAGCTCCATATGGATGGATCCATATGCAATGGATAAAAACTAATCAAGGAGAGAACCAACCTACAACTATGGAGAAACTTCTGATAGTTAGAACAGTTAATTAAACTTGCCTCTAGTAGTAATGGGTGCTCCAACATTGGAGGTTTTTAAGAAATGATTGAACAACCATTTGTCTGAAATGGTATAGGGCAGGGATAGGCAACCTCTGCTCTTTTATGACTCATGGACTTCAACTCCCAGAATTCCTCAGTCAGCATAGCTGGTATAGGGTTTCCTGTTTGAGCAGAGAGTTGGACCAGAAGACTTCCAAGGTCCCTTCCAACTCTGTTATTCTGTTATGTCAAGGCAGGGTCCCCAAGCCCACCGACAGAACCATGGCCTTTTGCAAAAGTAAAAAGGTAGGGGGCAGTTTTATCTATGGGGGAATGATGTTCCTTTGCAGTGAGACTAATAAAGCAAGCTTCACATACTGTTTTAAGCTGAAGAGCCCAATCAATGCCCATCCACTGTTGACCATCAGTGGAGGTTTTCACATTATCCAATCTTAGAATTTTCCTTTGGACAGACTAATAACAATCTCTCCAGAATATGTATGCATAAAAAAAAAATAATTGGGCATCTATCAACTTAGCAAAACAACAAATAGGAGAATGAAATCATTTTTTATCAAACTGTGGAGGGTGGCTGCACAAAAGAATTTCTTAATATTGTATTCTGTGTTGAAGATGGAATGTTACATTTTCTCTGTATAAATTTCTGTGGAATTTAAAAAAAAGTGGTGCTTGGGATAATTGCACCTTGAAAACTGAGATCCAACCCAGAATTCTTCTATATTAAGGGCAGAAAATTAGAACTAGACCTAAAAATTAACAAAAGGTAATGGAAGGTAAATTTTAGGTAAACTTACCTAAAACTTAAATTTTAATTGACCCATGCTATTTGAGTCTGTAGAATCTGTTTACTGTACATATGATTTAAAAATTAAGGGAGCTTTCCTAACATATCATTTACAAAATGTCTGATATATGAATAAATTTATAAACACTTTTAATCTTGTTTTGGAAAAAAAGGGAGCGGATTAATTCTAAAATGTCTTTATACTTTGAAACAAAATGAATTAGATGGACCTCTGACAGGAAATAATAGCATAGTTTACCTTCATTATAACTGTCCCAGCGAGGTTTGCATAAACTGTATTATCAGTTGCATTTGTCCAGTGTTCACAAAATTTGCTAAGCAGCAATGTGGCCATTGTTAATGTCAGAAGAGGCTATTCTAAAGTGGGCTGGTTCTCCCAAATAAACAAAAAACAAAAACAAAAAAACAAATGGAACTAGCAGAGATCTGAAAACAAATGTTGTAGATACCCTTTGTGGAAGTGAAACAAACTATGTTTTATAAAGAAATCACAATATGGTTTTAAAATGGATTATACTATGAAGGGAAAATGCATAAAAATACTGTAGCACAATATATAGTCAAGAACCATTCCTCTTTTTTCTCACACACATACAACATGCACCACACAGACAAACATAAATGGCAGCATTCCTTCTCTCTCAAGCTCTCCTATATTTACTCATCACCAACGCACACGCATACATACCCTTATACACTAGATCTAGTTTATTTGGCCTTCCATGCACATTTTGATTTATATTTTAGCTTTCTTTCCTCTTTTGTTTCACCTAACTTCAAGGCAGAAGTGTTATGTAGGCTCCAAAGTTGCTGTCTTCTTTGTGATGTTTTAATTAGCCCTTTCAAAGAGATTTTGTTACAGTGGCTTTGGGTTGGGTAATCTAGAATTTATAATTTTCCTTTATCCCTTTGGAATTTGTAGGCTGAGGCATTTAATGCCATCATTTTAACTGAGATAAATTACATATTATAAGCTAAATGTTGTATCCACTAATTCTTTATTTATTTATTTAAATTTATTATGTCCACCCAGAAGACTCTGGGCAACTGACAGTATCCAAATATACAATTAAAATATTAAAAAGAAATAAGACATGGCAGCCTAGATTGAAAACAGCCGTGCCAATAAAACAACAGACTGTCCCCAGCCTGGGAACTGAGCCAGGCCTTAGGGGCTTTCCAGAACCCCAGAAGAATGGGTGCTGTCCCTATCTCTGGGACCACGGGTGTTTTGGAGTATGGGGCAGAGAAGGCAGACTTTCTTGCTGTATTCAGATGACTTTCAATGGAGGATTCCTGGAGGGAGCACACTCTTAACACACTGGGGTCAGTACATTGAAAACTTCACCTGTGCAGTCTGGAATTGGGATGTAATGCTACCTAACTGCTTGATCCCAAAATGATAGATGAACTTACTTAATGGTTTCATATAGATTTTAGAGCTTCTGTTAATTCAGAGGGGGTATTAATAATCTCTTTTTAAGACCAAATATGTATCACTTTGAGACAACTTCTCGTCAAGTAAATATGTTTAAAATCTGATTGCAAATATATTTTTCATAACATCAAATTTCTTATAATTTTGGCTTCAAAAATAATAATTGGCTTATTGTTTTTAATGCTTTTATTTGTAATGCTGATCTATGATCATAACAGAAATTGATCAATTTGGCTTCAAATTAGTTTAAGTTATATTAATATTTCTGCATGATAGAAATGATTTGCAAGAATAATAAGGCTCTGCACTGCTTTCAAAATGTTTCAGAAGAAATATGCAAGCACAGCATCTCTCTGCTGATATCAGCTTCACTTTTTTTAGGCTTAAGCGCAAGCCTGAAAAAAGGACACTGCAACTTTAACAATCTTATTAAGGAGTGGACAGTTAGTATTAAAACAGCTATTAAAGCAGCAGCATCTTTTTCAAGGCTACATAGAAGCCTAAAAAAGTTGCGCTGCTTATGTAAATTGCCAAGAATTTTTGTGCTCATAAAGAGTCTGAGTTATTTATTCTGAATCCTTTTTGAAGGTGCACAGATCTAGAGTACTTACAAGAAGGAAAGTTCACTGTAGCAAGATTCTCGACTTGTGTGCATGTGTGTGTGTGCTTTCTTTATACTTACGCTAACAATACTGTGTTGATACTTTCCCTCAGATGTTGATTGGCCGAAAGCAAGCTACTCTAAATACATGCTTGATATTTCTTTTAACATTTGGAAACTTCTGTTAGAAATTTATTTATCTTCTCTTTTTCTTCTTTTTTCTGTATTGGCAGAGCATCTTGGATTAGAGTTAAAGGGTATGAAACAAACCATTCATTTGTTAAACAGACACCACAGTTCTTCACATTATGTTTTTACAGTTTTTATGGGGTGACCAAGAATATCAGCTGCTCATCTCTTATTCTGGCACAGTTTGTGGAAAAGTCATGTATATGCATATGTATATGTATATACATGTGCATATACAGTATACATATGCAGTCAAAACCAGTTTATCTATATTAATATAAATATAGATAAGTGTGCCTGGGTGCACTGCAGCACTTTTCTGTGGGGCTCAGTGAGACCAGAAGTAAAGTGCTTGCTCAGTAGCACTTCTGTGCCATTTTAGTCTGTGCTTTTTGGAGATAAAAAAAATTGCCTAGGTCAGTTTGGAAGATCACAGACTTGTATTGCAGTAATAGTGGATGCAAATCCTAGTAAAGAACAGACTTGTACTAAAGAAGTTATAGCAATTCTGCAAAACCAATCAAAGTCAAATTTGGAACCATTCCTTCTCACCTTATTTAATTTCATGCTGGTTTGGGAGTATTTCTTTTAAAAAGATTGACCCAGCAGCAAAACAATATTGCAGCATCCCCCCTTGGAGCAGCAGAATTTGTATTGCTCCAATTTAGCTTCTTCCTCCAAAAGATTTTATATTAGTAAAAGGGGAAAGGGGAGATTGCAGTACCCCCGTTATATATACCTTCAATATTTCTTTTCCAGAAAATTAACTAAATGAATGCAGACTGCAGGAGCAGGGCAGGAGAAATAGCAAGTAATTTAAGATATATTAAATCTTTGATTTCCAAGCACATAGACTTCTACATAAAGGAACATGAAGAATAGCCCCAACCCCAATGTAGTAACATAATGCAGCAGTTTACAACCTCAGGCTTCTATAGGAATGTTCATAAAAGTGCACTTGTACCATCAATATGCATGAATAGGAAAAAGCCAAAGACCAGAAATCACTGGCTACATTAATGAGGGAGGATTGCTATGTATTTGAATCTCAGTGATAACTGTTCTAATGGGATGGGAGAATGCTTCCTATGAACCCCTGTGCATAATGTGAAACACTTTCTCAATAATGCTGAATGCATAACTGCCAGGTGCAACACATTGACCTGTAGAGCAAGTAGCCAGAGAAAAAGAGCAGCCAAAAAGGGTCCCATCTGATTCCTCTCATAGGTTTTCTTCACGGAGCAGTAATACTGCCACTCAGTGGCCAATCACCTCTCCCATATGGAGTGCTCTCAGTGCTCTTCAGAGTGACCCATTGCATTGTGGCCACTGCGAGCACTACATACTGAACTATTAGGAAACAGCCTCCTACAGCGCCTGTTTTATTGGTGAATCCAATGCTTGGAATGGCTACTTCCTAGTGATGGGAAGAAACATTTTCAGTTAATGTATTTTAAGGAGGCACCAATTCTTGTCTAAATTTCTTACCCCTTTCCAACTGAAAATTGAAGTGGATAGTTTCCTAACTAAAAAACTGTATTAGTTTCAAGAGGAGATTAGTGTCTTTACACTAATTAACCAAAGCTAAATGCACACACAGATAACAAAGCCTGATTATGTTCAGGAATCATTCTTAGGAATAGAACCAGTGCTGCCTTTCTCAACCCCTGGGCTTTTCTGTTTTTCCTTATGAAAGTGAGTTAGAGTTGTTTATCGTTAGTGCTGGGTCAACCTCTCCCATTAAAATTAATCCATTCCTTCTGCCAATAGGCATCATTCTTGTACCTCTGAATGGCTGACGTTCAGCAAGATGATTTCCAGCCACTTGAGATTTGGAAGGAGAGCATTAGGGAGGAACGGCAGTGGTTTGCCTCCCAGAAGTCGCCTGTGTCCACTTGCACAACTAGTGGATAGGCAGGAAAGAAGAAAAGAAAGTCAGTAGCGCCCCCTCCTGATGATGGCTCTCATAGAATCATCCTGATCCTTACAGGAGAGTTGCTACAGCCTTTAGCAGTGCTAATTCCAAACTGACCTATGAGAATATAGTATTTTTCATGCATTATCATCATGTTCTTTGTGATGGAAACCACTTTTCCACTTCTTTGATTTATTTTTGTTCCCAGGCATGCTAGTTTCCTATTTCATGTGCTATATGACCAAAAATTATGCATTAAAGACTAATTGTGCTTATAGCAACTTGTGTATCAGATTTATGCTACCGCACTTGCCATGCTTACCTAAGGAATATGTCTCACGGAATTCAGTGAGATCTGTTTTTAATAGACCAATTTGACTGGAAATTATAAATCCTTCCCAGGAGCAAATCTTGTATAAATGAAAAGCATAATGTGGAAAGTGGCCTTGGATTGACATTGCTGTTGATTCAAAACATTTTGACTTGCTATTTTGAATTGAGGATTTTTGACATCCATTCCTGACTTCTGCTTGTTTCGCTTTATTTAAAAATCTCTTTCTTTCTAGGCTGACTGTTTATGTGCCAATAAACTTATTTTGCCATGCTGTCTCTTCTTTTTTCATACTTTCTGCCAGCCATGTATTTCCTGTGATGCTCGTGGATGACGTTATGTCACATGTGCTGGTTTGCATTTAATATTTTATCACAGAATGATAATCTGTGATATGCATTCAAAAATACCACAGATATATCACACGAACAATTGTGCTATCCCAATGTCTTATAATTAAGTAAATTTTGATTTGCATTGTCTTGTGTTCTTCTATAATTCTTCTGTAAGGCTCATATAAATGTACACATACAGTATTATTTACTTATTGCAAAGCAAAGTGATAAATTTCTTTCCATTTAAGCAATATATTTTGTTTTGCGAAAGTACTGTATCACAACTATATTCTGATAGAATAATCAGCAATGAGATTTAGTTGTGAATCTTTGTTTGAAATGGTTGAATATTGAAATATTTTGCAGTTCTCAAATAGAAATCCAAATATCTCTGCTAAATGATTAGGAGAATCATGGCAAATATTATTTTCTTAATAGTTTTATTCTTATATGAAAATTATCACTGGTAAACTTGCAAAAATCTATGTAATATCTTGACAAAGTGTATTTTTTGCAGTATGGGCAAGTTTATTTACCAATTTGAGAATTGACATTTGCCACATTCTTAAATAGGTGTATTGAAACTGTTTCCCTTTGTTTTGAATCCATCATTATGTACATTGTACTAACGAGATCAATTTTTGTTGCACAATTTGGCACTGTTTTTGAGATGAAGTCTCCCCACTTCCAAAAATAAAAAATTAGAAATTATGGCAAAGATGGATAACCCAATGCACATTGAAACTGAATTGGGGCAGACAGAAATAAGGGAGATAAGAGAATTGATGGATTTTTAGTTTCATTGAAAAGCAGAACAAATTACTTTTTGAATGTGAAGATTAGATATGTAATTTCTTAATACATTCACATTTCAAAGATTCAGGTATGGATTGAAATCCATACCCATTAATTTTGACCATTGAAATATAAATATGTTGAAGCTTCTGTGATTGAAATGTAGCACAGTAATTACTCAGAGGTTTCCAGGTACTTTCTTATCTGAAGCAACTGTGCATTTATCAGAGTTTGAAATGTAAAATCTATAGCTTATTTGCATAATTAATGCATATTCACTTTTCATTCTATATAATAATCTGGCATTAATAAGAACAGCAGGAGAGAAACTCAAAGGAGAAATAAATAAGCATGATGTATGAAAATGCTTTAAAAGTTAGGGAGTGGAGTGGAATTCAAATTATAATTTGTTTAGGACACCCTGAAAATCTTGGCACTTCTAACTAAATTTTTCAAGTTTTTAAAGTGCCTGAATAGCTTTAGTTTCACAATTTGACAAGCCAAAGCTACTGACAGTAACAGCTGGAGTCTTCCTTCCATGGAGGTGAAGCCCAAATAGATGTATTGCATTCCTTTGCTAGCTGGCTGAGTGTGCACCCTCTTCTTCAGTCTTCAGAAATTCTAGAAATTGTACCCTTGAGAAACAGAAGTGTGTTTCTCCCACTCATTGTTTAAGGTAAAAAGAAATTAAAATGACAAGTAAGTGTTCAGGCTAACAACACACCCACACACTCCAATTCTTGCACCCATCTACATTTGAAAACACCCCTCCAAGACATCTTGGGGGCCTCTGGGTGCTCTCTTGGGCTGCCATAGACCGGAAACAATACAGTCTGCCTTATGTTTGTTTGTTTGTTTGTTTGTTTGGCTGAAATTTTCCAAGTTCTGGGTACAGCAGGGGGACTATTTCTTATTTTCTACTCTATATTTGCTCTTATTGTCTTAATCCTTATCCTATGTTCTTTACGTATAACCTAATTATAGCCCTTGTGAAGGAGTACAGGAACTTTAGGGTTACTTGGCTGATCTTAAGAAAAAAAATGGTTCAGGCCCAATGATTGAACCAGAGGCAATATTCAACCCTGTATTCCTTAAATGATTCCTTCATGTACTACACGCTGAGGTACCTCATTCTGAGACACAAAAAAGGAGGTCGCCTAGTGGAAGACTACCTAAGAGTCTTATCAATCTAGACCAGGACTTTTCAACTGTTTTTTTTTTTTTTCCTCTCATGGCCTCCTGAGACTCATACTCCTATGTAACTGCATCATAAATCACTGTTAATTGGAAATATGGCGTAGGCCATATTGAGAACCACTGTCTAGGGAGGGAAGGCTTGGTAGGGCACTAGAAATAAAAGAAAGTGTGTTATGACTGGATTTATGAGAACTTTCGTTATAAAAGAAAACACAGAAAGAAATGGATGATTCCAGACAGAGCAGCCTTGATAGAGAAGCTAGAGGATGCTACATATCTGGTAAACTTGACTATCCAGTCAGGGACAGAAGACCCAACCTCCCAGAGGCCTCCCTCTCACCCACATTATAACAACCCATAAAAAAGGAGATGGTAGTTGCTACAGAGATGAAGGAAGATGACCAGTTTCATAGAATGTGATAGCAAGGTGACTTTGGTGTGCCCCTACTTAGTGAATGGGACCTTTAATGTGAATGAACAGTATCTTATAAGAGT